AAATTAACAACCCAATTTTATTATATGCAAATATTTGATATTTCTAACAAATAAGATTTTATACTCTAATAGCTTACGCAACACGAGTTTCTATTTATGCTGCGTAGTATAAGAGCCAAAACGCGACGACTTATGTTGTAAACATTTTAAAACACTAAAAGGAATATAATTTCAATATAAATGACCGTTAAGGCAATATTATATTATTTATTGTGAAACCCCCCGTGCGTAAAGAAGAACTACAATTTTAATATTTATTTATTGAAAATTAAGCACATCATTTATTTTTTTAAAATAAAATAAATAAATATTATGATAGGATATCAACCAATTTAATGCGTGATATATCATGTTTATCAGTTTCATATATGAAACGTGTCTCTTAAGTAATTTTAGTTGCAATAAATATGGAGTTGTGGATATATTAAGGGATGACTTTTATTTATATTTAAATTAAAAGACAAATTTATTTTCATAAAATGAAAATTACATAAAAATAAAATTAAAATATTTCTAAATTTCAAAATTAGAGTTCTATTGAGTTCATGACCACTTGTCGAGTAAACTTAATTAAACACATTCAAATATTCATAGAAAATAGTGTATAAGTGATTTTGAGTAATATAAACATCATTTAAGACCGAAATTCGATGTTCTTTTATGTTTATTGGAATTGGTACTAAAGACGCGATATTGGGTACTAAACTACCATATAAATTGTGCAATAAATAAAATATGTCTATTTAAAATTAGTACACAACTCGAATGGTGTACATAACTGATAATAAGTTACATTATTCCATTTCAAAATAAGTGTCATTTTAAAATTTTTTATTCAAAAATTTAATTTGAATACAATGTGGTTTTACATTAAATAAATATTTTGGTAAAATTTTTTATCATATATTTAAAAATATATGTGAATAATAAGTATAATATTACTGAATTATATTTTTATTATATTTGTTATAAAAAAATTTATGTTGTATTCATATTTTCGAAATTAGGTTTTTGATAAATATAGTTTTATTTATAATGATAGATGTAATTAATTTTATTTTATATATGTTATATGGATGCCAATCGAAGATCGTTAAAATATGACTATTTTGAGATATTAAAAAGTTATATTGATGTAAATATAAAAGAATACATAATTATAACAATTATTATATGAATTAAATGATGAAGGGTGTCATTCAATGAAATGAAATGAAGTGTATTAGTAGTGTTTTATCATTAGTGTGTCGAGTTCATGACTATTTTACGATTAAACTCAATTAAAAACATTTTAAATCTCATATAAACTATTGTGAGAGTGATTATGGGTCATATAAACGTTATTTGAGACCGAAATTCGGTGTTTTTATGTGTTCATTACAAGTGGTACTGAAGTCCCAATATCAGGTACTACAACAATACAAAACAGGTACGATCTAACTCTATGTCTGGTACTACTTTTTGTAAATGTTGACCAAAATTGAAATGATCCATTTTCGTTCACAAAAGTAGGTACTAATCGATCAAAAACAGGTACCACGTAGAAGAAGACTAGATACTATTTTGGCTAAAACAGGTATTATTTTAAGAATTGAGATTTCTCTAATTCTTCATGTCTACCATGACACGTGGATCGTTCACACGTGATTTGGATGAAAAATAGTTGAAGCTAAAACATATGGGTAGAATTTTGAGTAGTCGTATATGATGGATTCTATGAGATGAAGTGTGTCATTCAATGAAATGAAATGTATTAGTAGTGTTTTCTCATTAGTGTGTTGAGTTCATAACCAATTTGCGAATAAACTCAACTAAAAACATTTTAAATCTCATATAAATTAATGTGAGAGTGATTATGGGTCATATAAACATCATTTGAAACTGAAATTCGATTTTTTTATATGTTCATTATAAGTGGTACTAAAGACCCAATATCCGGTACTAAATCAATATAAAACTGGTACTATCTTACTCTATGTCTGGTACTACTTTTTGTAAAGATTGACCAAATTGAAATAATCCATTTTCCTTCACAAAAGTAGGTACTAATTGATCGAAAACAGGTACCATGTAGAAGAATATGCAGTACTATTTTGGCTAAAACAGGTACTATTTTAAGAATTGTCATTTATCTAATTCTTCATGTCTACCATTACGCGTGGATCGTTCACACGTGATTTGGATGAAAAATAGTGGAAGTTAAACATATAGGTAGAATTTGGAGTAGTCATGTATGATGATTCTATGAGATGAAGTGTGTCATTCAATGAAATGAAATGTATTAGTAGTATTTTCTCATTAGTGTGTCAAGTTCATAACCAATTTGCGAATACACTCAACTAAAAACATTTTAAATCTCATATAAATTAATGTGAGAGTGATTATGGGTCATATAAACATCATTTGAAACTGAAATTCGGTTTTTTTATGTGTTCATTATAAATGGTACTAAAGACCCAATATCCGGTAGTACAACAATATAAAACTGGTAGTATCTTACTCTATGTTTGGTACTACTTTTTGTAAATGTTGACCAAATTGAAATAATCCATTTCCTTCACAAAAGTAGGTACCAATCGATCAAAAACAGGTACCATGTAGAAGAAGATGCGGTACTATTTTGGCTAAAACATGTACTATTTTAAAAATTGTGATTTCTCTAATTCTTCATGTCTACCATTACGCGTGGATCGTTCACACGTGATTTGGATGAAAAATAGTGAAAGTTAAACATATAGGTAGAATTTCGAGTAGTCATGTATGATGATTCTATGAGATGAAGTGTGTCACTCAATGAAATGAAATGTATTAGAAGTGTTTTCTCATTAGTGTGTTGAGTTCATAACCAATTTGCGAATAAACTCAACTAAAAAAATTTTAAATCTCATAAAAATTAATGTGAGAGTGATTATGGGTCATATAAATATCATTTGAAAATAAAACACGGTCTTTTTATGTGTTCATTACAAGTGGTACTAAAGACCCGATATCTGGTACTAAAACACCATAAAATGGTACTATCATACTCTAGGTCTGGTTCCATTTTCATTGACCAATAGTAGGTACTATTTGATCAATAATTGGTACTTCATAGAAGAAGAAAAGGTATTATTTATGGTAAAACTGGTACTATTTTAAGAATCGTGATTTCTATAATCCTTCATGTCTACCATGTCACGTGGATCGTTAACGAGTGATTTGGCTGAAAAATAGTGGAAGTTAAGACATATAGGTAGCATTTGGAGTAGTCATGTATGATTATTCTATGAGATAAAGTGTATCATTCAATGAAATGAAGTGTATTGGTCGTGTTTTCTCATTAGAGTGTCGAATTCATGACCATTTTATGATTAAACTCAATAAATCTCATATAAACTAATGTGAGAGTGATTATGGGTCGTATAAACATCATTTGCGACCGAAATTAGGTGTTTTCGTGTGTTCATTATAAGTGGTACTAAAGACTCGATATCTATCACTAAAACACCATAAAGTGGTACTACCTTACTTTAGGTCAGGTACTACTTTTTGTAAATGTTAACAAAAATTGAAATAATCCATTTTGGTTGACCAAAAGTAGATACGAATTGATCAATAACAGGTACTACGCATAAGAAAAAGCGGTACTATTTCCATCAAAATTGGTACCATTCAATGAGATGAAGTGTATAATAGTAGTGTTTTTCCATTAGTTTGTTGAGTGCGTGACCAATTTGCAATTAAACTTAATTAACCAAATTTCAAATCTGATAAAAATTAATGTGAGAGTAATTATGGGTTGTATAAACATCATTTTCCACCGAAATTCAGTGTTTTTTGTTATATGTTCGTTACAAGTGGTATTGTAAACCCAATATCAAGTACTACAACAACATAAAACTGGTACTATCTTACTCTATTACTGGTACTACTTTTTGTAAATGTTGACCAAATTTGAAGTAATCTATTTTTTGTTCTTTCTACAAAGCAGGTACTAATTGATCAATAACTGGTACTGCATAGATGATGAAGTGGTACTATTTGTTGTAAAACTGATACTATTTTACAAAATTCGATTTTTTTTTATGTTCGTCGGAGTTGTTACTGAAGACTCGAATCTAGTACTATAACATCATAATTGCGGTACTATCTTACTCTAGGTCTTATACTAATTTTGAAAATTTTGACCAAATTTGAAGTAATCTATTTTTTGTTTTTTCTACAAAGTAAGTACTAATTAATGAGTAACTGGTACTGCATAGAAGAAGACGTGGTTTTATTTTTGGTAAAACTGGTATTATTTTACAAAATTTGATTTTTTTTATTGGTACTATTTGTTGTAAAACTAGTACTATTTTACTAATCGTGATTTCTTTAATCCATCACGTCTACCATGTCTAAAAAGCTACAATTAGTCAACAAAAGAGATAGAAGAAGTAGATTTTTCAGTTAGCTCAATTGTTTTTAATAGTAATGAGGAACTTGGCAAAACAAAGGTTTAAAATGTAAAACAAGACTACAATTACTCGATATGGACATTAGAACTATATATTTTGTTACAAGGAAATTTAGTGATAAGCACCTGGAGAAAATAGATGTGTATTGCTAGCGTAAACAGCACTGGTGAAGACATACTGAAAGGTAGAAGTTGATATATAAAAAATCGACAACGAGAAGTAGAAAGGCAATGTTTTGTGACCATCATAATCAACTCATGATCTTATAATTTCCAACATCCATAGCAATAAAGAAAAATGTCACTAAAAATCATCTAACCAGCAGCTAGTGTTTATCATAATATTTGTAAGAATTCACATTATGAAGAGCTTTTCAAGCTAAAAACGAAAAGCCTCAAAACCACCCAAGCAAGATGCAAGAAAAAAGTAAATCCAAGTAAAGCCCTAGCAAACACCAACCAAAAATTCAAATTCAAGCAACCCAGTATATTTTAACACTAAAAAGATCATACTGGTTCTCATATTAAAATAAAAGAGGAAAAACATATCACAAACACGTTATTCATGTCGGCGCGCGAGGGAAGGGGGAAGTTGCCGTACTCCTGGAGACCGGCGAGCATCCGGCTCGTGATGGCCCTCGGGTGCCGCTCCCGTAGCTTCATCCGCTCCGTTTCCTTTTCCCTCTCTTTCCTACTCTTGGTTTCAGTCGAACTGGAATTGATTTGGAAGCCTACCCAAGATCGTGCACCTTGGCCACATAATTGAGCTCTGCTTACAAGCAATTGAGTTGGGATTAGATCTTTGAAGAATTTGGGGATCTTGATTTGGGATTAAATTTTTCAATTGGGGATCTAGGAGAGTCCCGGTGGTGGGTCTTCCTAAAGCCTTCCAAGTGGATGGGACGGGTAAACATGGCCTTTTTATTTTTTTCTTCTTACATCTTGCAATTTTTAGAAATTTTCAGAGAGAAAGAGATGGTCGACGATGGAATTTTCAGAGAGGAAGAGACGATGGAATTATGAGAGAGAAATAGAGACGGCAACGAAGAGAGAGAGCATAATGAAGAAGAAAAAGAGATTTTTTATGTTTCAGACAAAATAAATGAAAAATAATAATATTACTATACATATGGGGTGTGATTTGGAAAGTGAAATTAAAATTAGGGAGTGCATAGGGACAAATTTTAGCACGAGGACTGGCAAGGAAGATGAAAAGGGGTGTGGGGATTTAACTTGAATTTTCCGTTTTTTTAAATATTAATTTTAAACATCTTACAAATTATTCATCACATAAGAATCACCTCTATCTATCCCCTCTCCATATAATATCAGAATGCATTGAGCACAAACTCTCATTCTCCATAATCCTATTTGGCGAAAATCATGCTTTGGAGTTAGACTTGTATACAATTTAATATTTTTATTAATTGTATTTTAATATCGTTTCCTATTATAATCAATGAATTGCAAATATATTTAAAAAGTTGATAACTTTTGTATTCCTTATCGGTTTTACATATATAATATATCAAATTAATCATCTTTCAGAATGCACTGAGCCTACGTGGCAAACTCTCATTCTTCATAATCCTATTTGGCAAAAAATCATGCTTTGGAGTTAAACTTGTATAATTAGAAAAATGCTACATTACCAACATAGTGTACAATTAGGTTGACAACACAAGTGAAAACATCCACTTGTGTATTTTTTTATTTTTATTTTTTTGAATGTTTCTACTTGTGTTGTCAACCTAGTTATATACTAAGTTGTCAATGTAGCATTACTCAATAAATTAATATTTGTATTAATTGTATTTTAATATCATTTCCTATTATAATCATTGAATTGCAAATATATTTTAAAAGTTGATAACTTTTGTATTTCTTATCGGTTTTGCATATATAATATATTTTTTTTTTTCCGAAACGATAGAAGTACTATAAAAAGCACAAAAGTGCAAAGAGAACAAATTACACGACCCCAACAGGGTAAAATCTAAGACCCCAACAGGGTAATGAGACAGGGGCCAACGGCCCAAACCAAAAACACGTCTAGAAAAGAACAGGAATAGCAAACTGAGAGGGCACGCACATGGCGGCCTAGAGAACTCCACAACCGAAAATTAAGGAGAATAAATAACAGAGCCACTGCACAATGCCTAGCCTGTATTCATTTCCAAAACAAAGACAAACAAACACACTGAACAAAAGAAAACGACAACAAACCTAAAGGAATACACATGACGAACACACTAAACAAAATAAAACGACCCTCTCCCGGAGAAACAACTAAGCCGAAGAAGCAACTACAACTGACCACAGGATAGGTCCCTAGCCAAGCCACAACCCCCGAAACTGCCGCAGGCCTAACAAGAGGCAGGGCCCCGCCCCCGAACCCAACCAAAGGACAACACCCACTGACCGAGGAGAACAGGCCCAGCCACCCCAACCAGCAAAACCCGAATTAGGCTAACACCACTAGCCCTGGTCGAGAATACCGGATCCCACGCAACCCAATATGAGCTGCCCGAACTCCAACTCCGGCGACCACCACATGAGACACACAGCAGCCACCAAAGCCCCACCCAACCACCGCCGACCCTCATCCACAGCCACAGACGCACAGACTCTCTATCGCCACATCTGCCCACTACCCAGCCGGAGACGAGCCCCAGCTAAGCGACCCAAACCCATACCAATACTCAGAACCACTACACCCAAACGGGCCGAATCAAGCCCTTTCAGACGACCCCGTCGGAGAAGTCTCGGAGCCCCAATTTGAACCCTAACCCCCAAACTCACCAAAATCCAATTCCTCCAGACTAAACCAGATCAAGATAGAGAACTTACCTACACTCCCAATCGCAACAAGCAGCATCGAGGACACCGCCGGATGACGATCGGAACCGCCGCCGTTCTCCACCCACCACCAGACGGGAGACGAGAGAAGTTGCTATGGCTGTAGACCGAGGAAAAACGTCGGCAATGGAGGATGGGCGGCCAGCGACGGCCGCAGAGACGGCGTCGCCGTCGCCGGAAGAGGTCAAAACGATCGATTGAACGGAGCTGCGGTTAGGTTAGAGGCCGAGAGAGAAAATCGCCGGAGTAAATATTGTCTTGTTTTGGGAGTTGAATTTTTGCATATATAATATATCAAATTAATCATCTTTTGATGAACTTCGATTTGACATCCATATTGTATATATAAAATAAAGAAAATTATATTTATCTTTATAATAATAAAAAAAAACTATTTATTAAAATTAATTAGAAAATTAAATTATTTACCAATTAATATATTTATGTTTAATGTAGTTACTAGTACAATACCCGTGTATTACACGGGTGTTGAATTATAAAGTTTTTGTAAAAAATATTAATTTATTTATTTTTAAAAAAACTAAAATAATTTAATTTTATATAAAACATTACATTAGGTTTTAATTAAATTGTCAAATTATGTTTTCCAATACGGAATTACGTTTTCCAATAGTAAAATGATGTAAGAGCCGAATTTTCCGTAAATAAAAAAGTACCCGAGTTCAGTGCTAAAACGTCTCCATCGTCTTCTTGCAATTGGTTAACCTCTAATTCTATTGGTGGAGTTTCAATATCTTGATGTGGATCCACATTCAAATCAAGTAACAAGGTACCTTCTAATAGACCACTTAACCAAGGTCTCAAATGTAATTTCACATGCCAACAAGATCCTACAGCTATGAGCTCGCATGGTACAAAGCCATGCAATGGCATGCAGCCACATGCACATATGACAGCTCATCATAGTACAAGGAATAGCAATCCCTATCCATATTGCCATGTGTCTTCATCTAATAACCTAGGTCTAGAATGAATGGTGTAGATGAGTTCTTGAGATGAGTGTTGATACTATATATGGCCATGTAAACCGAGGCTGAATAGCAGTCAGATTCATTAATGCAAAAAATTCATATGAAAGAGTAATATTACTGTTCTTGTGATTTCCTTTCCCTTGCTTTTCGTTATGATTATTGAGCTTTCCTATTATGGTATCAGAGCTGGTTAGCCAAACCAGACTCTGATCCATTCTCCTTTTTCTTCCATCTTTATTTCATTTCACAAAAATGGCAACCCTAGAAATCGCTATTCAGCCTCAAAGCCAGCTCATAGGCATTAAACTCACAGATTCAAATTATCTTATCTGGAAGCAACAAGTTCTTGCTGCAACAAGAGGCCATGGACTAGAAGGATATCTTAATGGTAGCAAAAGAGCTCCCAACGAGCAGATCTCAGATCCTGATGGCAATACTTTCAGAGAAAATCCAGCTTATGCACTGTGGGTTAAACAAGATCAGCTGTTGGCATCTTGGCTACTATCCTCCTTGACTGAGCCTATTCTCATATCTATTGTTGGACTAACCACATCAAGGGAGATCTGGGAAGCCCTTGAAACAGCATTCTCCAGTCAAAATGCAGCTAAAGTGATGCAGTACAAGTTGAAGCTGCAAACAACAAAGAAAGGAGGTTCATCCATGAAGGACTATTTAAACAGTATCAAATCCTGTTGTGACTTGATAGCAGCTGCTGGGCAAAAAGTCACTGAAGAAGACCAGATCTCTCACATCTTGTCTGGATTAGGTGCTGAATATAATGCGGCCATTGTTTCTATCCTCTCAAGGTCAGAACCTGCCAAACTAAGAGAAGTCCACTCCTTGCTTTTAAGCTTTGAGAACAGACTGGAAGTGGTTGAAGGAACCAACAATGAAGAAAACAACCAATTTTCTGTGAACTTTACCACACAAGGTGGAAGAGGTGGCTTCAAAAGAGGAGGAAACTTTCAACAGCCTTCAAGAGGAAGAGGAAACAACTACAATGGTGGCAGGTCAGGAAGAGGAGGTCCCTTTAGAGGAAGAGGAGGAAGAGGCCGACCTAGGTGCCAAATATGTTTCTACAACAACCATACTGCTGATAAGTGCTATTATAGGACTGACCTTAATTTTGTGCCAAGGCAAAATCCAAATATCAGCTATCAAGGTCAACAAACTGGAAATCAGTTTTCAGCTGGAGGTTCAATCAATTTCACTGACATGAACTCAAGTACAGGAACACAAGTTGATCTTTGGTATCCTGATTCAGGGGCAACCAACCATGTTACAAATGACCTCTCCAATCTCAACCTGGCCACAGAATACAATGGAGAAGAAAGAATTCATCTTGGAAATGGGGCAGGTATGAACATTTCTCACTTTGGTGAATCTGTAGCTATGTCCACTAAGAATCAAAAGTTTCTTCTTAAAAGCCTTCTTCATGTACCTAATATCACAAAAAATTTAATTAGTGTCTCCCAATTTGCTAAAGACAACAATGTCTTCTTTGAATTTCACCCAACATTTTGTCTTGTTAAGGATCAAGTTTCAAAGGAAGTCCTTCTCAAGGGAGCTGCTAAAGATGGCCTCTACAATTTTTCCCTTCAAACAAAGCTCACTGAACCTAGGAAGAATGGATCCAATATCACCAACTTCAGTCCCTATCTGCTTTCTGCTGAAGCTAGAAATAAAGAGAGTCTAAGTGTTTGGCACAATAGATTTGGTCATGCTAGTTTTGATATTGTCAAAAAGGCCTTGAATGATTGTAATCTTCCCTTTTCTGAGAATGAAAAAGATGCTTTATGTTGTGCTTGCATGAAATCAAAGATGCATAAATTGCCTTTCTTTGCTTCTGAACCTAAAAACTATGACATTATTGAATGTATTCACTCTGACCTTTGGGGGCCTGCCCCTGTCAGATCATTTCAAGGCTACCAATACTATGTTTCATTCATAGATTACACCAGTAGGAACACCTGGCTTTACCTACTCAAACAAAAATCAGATACACATGCAGCCTTTATTCACTTCAAAAATTTTGTTGAAAACCAACATGGTAAGAAAATAAAGGTGTTTCAAAGTGATGGTGGTGGTGAATTTATTGCCTTAACCAAATTCCTTTCAGATAATGGGATCAAACATCAAATTTCTTGCCCCTATACCCCAGAACAAAACGGCATGGCAGAGAGAAAACATAGACATCTTATTCAAGTTGCCTTGTCCCTTCTTGCTCACTCTAATCTCCCTACCTGTCATTGGGATGATGCTGTTTGTAGTGCAGCTTTCATCATTAACAGAACCCCATCCAAAGTCTTGCACTATAAAACCCCTTTTGAAATATTGAACCATACCAAACCAGATTACACTTCTTTAAAAACCTTTGGGTGTCTATGTTATCCTCTAATGAAACCCTATAACCAGAACAAGCTACAATATAAAAGCCAACCCAGCATATTTCTTGGCTATAGCAGCAAACACAAGGGCTATAAAGTATTGCTCCCCAACAAAAAGGTGATTATCACCAGACACATTCACTTTGATGAAACTCACTTTCCTTATGTTCAACAGCCCAAAGACTCACAGTCTTATCATCCCATTGAACCTCTTTCACCTCTACATGTTGTTCACCCTCCAGGAGACTCATCACCCACAGTCTCTATCCCAACATGACCTCATCCAACTACTCCACCTAACCCACCCTCCTCTTCCCACAGCCAGTCTTCATCTTCTAGTTCCCATACTCCTAACTTAGATGGACATATCTTTGTGGATTTACAAGTTGAGAATGTTTCACAACCTACTCCTTCCACTTCTCCTTCCCCCTCTATTCCTGTTCAGACTAACAATGACAATGCAGGTCATCACTGTATGGTTACTAGATCCAAAGCAGGAATCTACAAGCCAAAGGTTTATTCTTTAACCAGCACCATCTCTCAAGAGCCTAAAAATGATCATGAGGCTCTTTCTAATGCAGACTGGCACTCAGCCATGAAGAAAGAATATGATGCACTCATTCAAAATAAGACATGGACTCTCACATCACTGCCTTCAAATCACTTCTTAATTGGCAGCAAATGGGTCTACAAAATAAAACATAATGCAGATGGTTCTATAGCTAAGTACAAGGCCAGGCTTGTGGCCAAAGGCTACACACAATTTCCAGGTTTTGATTATGGTGAGACTTTTAGTCCTGTAGCAAAGCTAGCTACTATAAGAACAGTTCTCTCCATTGCATTAGCTGCTAATTGGTGCATCAAGCAGATTGACATCGATAATGCCTTCCTTCATGGCACCTTGGACACTGAATTATACATGGCACAACCCACAGGCTTCATTGCTCCTGGAACTGAGAACTTAGTTTGCAAGCTGCACAAATCCATATATGGATTAAAACAGGCTTCCAGAGCCTGGTTCAATAAGTTGGGATCCTTTTTACACTCTATTGGTTTCAAGACTAGCAAAGCTGACCACTCCCTTTATTTCAGACACTTCAATGGACACACTGTGTTGATTATAGTTTATGTGGATGATATGGTCCTCACTGGCAGTAGCTCTTTTGCTGTTAATCAGATTATTGATCAACTGAAAAATGAATTTCCTTTGAAGGATTTAGGAGGTCTCCATTTCTTTTTGGGCATTGAAATTCTTCCTACACCAACAGGCCTTTTTCTCAACCAAAAGCAGTACATTACTGACTTGTTGATCAGAGTTGGCATGGAAAACTCTAAGGGTCTTGTCACTCCTATGGTCACTTCACCTGTTCTCTCCAAGTACAATGGTCAACCAATGGAAGACCCTACACTTTATAGGTCTGTGGTTGGTGCACTTCAGTATGCAACCATTTCCAGACCAGAGATCTCATATAGTGTGAACAAGGTATCTCAATACATGCAAACTCCACTCAACTCCCATTGGAAGGCTGTCAAAAGAATCTTAAGGTATCTTGCTGGCACAATAAACTTTGGTATGGTTTTTCACACTCCAAAAAATTTGCAAATCACAGCCTATGCCGATGCTGACTGGGGCTCTGACATTGATGACAGAAGATCTACCAGTGGTTTTTGCATATTTTTGGGTCCTAATCTGATTTCCTGGAGTTCTAAGAAGCAGAAAATTGTCTCTCGTTCTAGCACTGAAGCAGAGTATAGGTCCTTAGCTCAGGCTACCTGTGATGTTGTTTGGCTTCAAACTTTGCTCAATGAACTTCAAGTTCCTCTCATTAAACCTGCAGTCATATGGATGGATAACCAAGGTGCTGTTTCTCTTGCTGAAAATCCTGTGTTCCATTCTAGGACCAAACATTTTGAGATTGATTTGCACTTCATCAGAGAGAAGGTGGCCACAAAGGATATTTCAGTCAGACATATACCAGCACTTGATCAGATTGCTGACCTTCTCACCAAGCCCATTTCAGGCCAGCTCTTCACAAGGTTCAGGAATAAACTTTCCATTTTTCCTAGACCCTTGCTCGATCTGAGGGGGGATAATAGACCACTTAACCAAGGTCTCAAATGTAATTTCACATGCCAACAAGATCCTACAGCTATGAGCTCGCATGGTACAAAGCCATGCAATGGCATGCAGCCACATGCACATATGACAGCTCATCATAGTACAAGGAATAGCAATCCCTATCCATATTGCCATGTGTCTTCATCTAATAACCTAGGTCTAGAATGAATGGTGTAGATGAGTTCTTGAGATGAGTGTTGATACTATATATGGCCATGTAAACCGAGGCTGAATAGCAGTCAGATTCATTAATGCAAAAAATTCATATGAAAGAGTAATATTACTGTTCTTGTGATTTCCTTTCCCTTGCTTTTCGTTATGATTATTGAGCTTTCCTATTACCTTCCACAAATGATAAGACTGTGATCGTAGTATTATCTTCGATCTCCTTGTTGCTTGATGGTTCCGAATTCGTTGGCGCCACATTTAAGTCGAAAAAAGAAAATTTTTGTGCCATGCTTTTTTATATTTGAAGTCATTGTTGTTAGTATTGGATTCTCGTTTATATATAAGAAACCAAAAACAATAATTATCTTCAAAAATTGGCTCCATGTTTATTTTGAAAGTTTCACCAAAATTTTGAATTTTTTAGGAAATATTTGTGGAGGTCGAACGAATTTTTGGTGGGAAGGAATTATATAAATACTGATAGTAATTGCTTGAGAAACAGAAACATAAAATAATACTGGTAGAAATATAAAAATATTGATATAAGAATAGTGATAGTTAACATGGCAGAAAGAAAGTAGAGATACATGTATAAAATATTTATATCTCGTGGAAGGAGAGAGATACAAATATAAAACTGAGAAGAAGAGAGATACAGATAACTGAGAAGAAGAGAGATACAAATATAAAACTATGTGGAAAACTCAAAAATGAGAGAAAATTATTAAAAAAGTATTTCAAAAGATTGAGGAGATTTAGAAAAATCAGATAAGATAACTATTCCTTAAAATACGTATTTGTGTTCTTTTAAGCTAAAGCGACAATTAAAAATAAACGGAGGGAGTAAAACTATAAATTATATTATAAAGTAATAGAAATTGATATGTATTCTTTTAAAATTGATATTTATTTCAAATCTAATTAGTATGTTGTCGATGTAATAAAAATAAATAATTATTTATATAAATTCTAAAATTACATATAAAGTTAAAAAACTGGGAATTACGACTGATACGACACTTGATGTATTAGGCATCTAATTAAGTAAAAAAAATTAATCTATTTTGTTTAATATTAAATATACATATCACATATTATTTCTATCTATTTAAGATATATATTTTTGTACTTATTTAATAGTAAATAATATCGATATTTTTATATGATATAAGTAAAAAAATTCAACACGGGTTGACATTTTCATTTAATGTACGGGTGTTTAATTATTATGATTAAAAAAATATAATTTGACAATTTAATTAAAACCCAAAGTAATGTTTTATATAAAATTACATTATTTTAGTTAAAAAAAAAATTATAAAAACTTTCTAATTCAATACCAGTGTAATAGACGGGTATTATACTAGTTATATTTAAAAGCATTTTCCACGCGAATGATTACGTTTGGCTTCCAATTTTTGCCTATAACGTTTTAATAGCGATTTTAACCGAATCAAACCCAAAAAAACAAAGAACAAAAAATGTTTGGTTAAGCAGATTTTATACCACTCATTGAGCCAAAATGCTCAAAATGAAGGCACAGCATATTGAAGCGTTTTTGGTTGGCAGATTAAATCCTTGTACGATAAATTGTAAACATGTGGATGAGTAGTGTACTATGTTTATTCTTTTAGCCACCAAAGCTTAATTGTGTTTTTTAGAGAGAAGTATTTATTTTTAGTATGAATAAATTAAATAAAATATAAAAATAAATTTATTGTTCTACAATATAATTATTTACCATTTATTTTATTTAAACTTTGGTCGTTGTCAAAAAGTTTCGAACATGAAAATTTTTGTTGTTCTGTTATTATTAAATTTTCTCAAATTTATAAAATATATGTGAATTATAATTTTTATTATAATAATAAAAAATACTAAAATTGTAAATATTCTTACTAGTAATTTAATACATTATGAGCATAAACAACTATTTTACAAATTAAAATTTTGCAAATAGCTTATGCATGCCAATGGTCAAAATAGCTATTGTTATTAATTGGTTAACACAGTTAATACAATTCACTAACCCTTAGCCTCAATATCTCCACTAACTGCTAATCTCAACATATGATTTAAATAAGGCGAATATCATTTCAACTATATTCTACTATCCTAGACTCCGACATTCTCCTATAAAACATACTATCACAATCCTCGACTGGTGTACCATTTTCTAGACATTTTCTCCTTGCTTTTCATTTAGGGGTAAAATATACAAGACCCCCTTATATTATACGAAATCTGCGCGTTTCCCCCTTATATTTTAAAAATTGCGTCAGACCTCCTTCTATTAAAATTTTGTATGCGCGAAACACCCAAAATCGATTTTAGTGACATTAAACCCTCATTTAGTGACATTTCCTTTTACGGTTCCTATAAAATCTTGTATTGTCATACATAAGCATTGGAGAATTATATGGTTAAAGACTTAAAGTGAGCCTCCAAAAGGGTTGACTTCGGACTTATGAGCCTAAAATCATGCAACGTGTGTGGCGTGACAACATGATAAGTTGTTTGTACTTTCTTTTATATTAGGGAACTAAGACCAGGGGTGTAGCTAAAGAAGGAGGCCCACACTAGAAAAAAAATATTATCTTATATATTCTACTTAAAAGGTATTTAATACTCCACTAATAAAATAAAAACAAGGGGAACACAAAGAAGGGAAAAAAAGAGGAAGTCCTTTTTTTTTTAGATTTGATATAAAAATTTAAACTTTAAACTTGTGGTAAATTGAATGTTGTTTCTTAAAGGACTAACATATTTAAATTTATGTATGATTGATAACTTGTATTGCTATTAAAAGTTTGATATATTAGACAAATATTTTATACATTATAATTTTTTTATATCAATTATGGAGAAATATTTTTATAAACAGTCTTGACAAAAAAGTGCATATGAAAATATTTCAAAATTAGCTACTTTAAACTTTTAGTCCAAATATACTTAAGGTGAATTATAATATTAATGTTAGGCCGAAAGAAACTTTAAAGACCTCATTGTAGAGTCATACCAAACTATGAAAACTCATAAGAATTTCTATGAATGTGAATTTTTATTTTTATACTTTGTTACAATGTAATATATATATTATTTAAGAAACAAGTAGGCTCCCACTCATATTATAAACTAGATCTCCCATGACTAAGACAGATGTATAACTATTTTTTTGTGTGGCATTGACTTTGCACGAGAGTGACTATTTCATAAAGCAAAATTGAGTTATAAGTTTTTGATCTTTTTTCCAATACATTATATGGTTATCAGCCCCATGTAGTGGTTTGAGGCTATTGAATTCATTATAGGTGTCTCCATTCAGCATGAATACAAAACATGTATTAATATCATGAAGCTTAGAGAAAAGTGTTAAAGGGCTAAAGATTAGTGTCCGACTCCGCTGTGAATGTTTATCGACCATATTATACTATGGACATTCATGACATAGATTAAAAGTACTTTCGACCCTTTCTCGAATTGCAAAAAATGTTGTGCCCCAAAACTCAATACTTTGGACTTTTCAGTTTTATGTTCCCATAGTATTGAGTCACTCAAACCGAGTATGATTTCTTCTTTATCACTCTTGTTTGTCCTATTTTTGTTGTTATTTTCATTTTTTCGCTATTTTTCCCCCCACTTTAGATATTTTTTTAGATTTTTAGTCCGTTTGTCGTGTGTTTTATTTTATTTTAGTTTTCGGTGTTTCTTTTATTTTCCCTGTATTATTATGTTTTCTTGTCGTTGGAGGCGTGTAGGTTCGGAGCTTTGACCGGATGTTAGGAATTCAACCAGTTCAAGGAGAAGGTGAACGTCTAGTTGTGCAAATACATTCTAGAAGGATTTGTTAGGGATGAGTAGGAAAAAAAAAAAAACAGAACTCAATTTCGAGTTTGGATGAGCTCGTCCAAGACCGCGACACACGAGCGCGCCCGCAGGATTTTTCGAGGCTCAAGGTTCTGTTTCGCCACGACCCGCAAAGGTCGCGATCCAACTTTTAAAATTCAAATTTCTTACGGGTTTTTGGCCCTTATCTATTGAAACTCATACTCAACCCTAGAGATTATTCAAGAATTGATACTTTTGAGATTTTTTCATTTTTCAAACGTTGTTTTGCTTGGATTTTTTATCTTGGAGAGTGACACTCCAAGAATCGTCTAGTGGATTCGGTTTGTAATCGGTGATTGACATCCAACTTTAATTTAATCGTAATATTTCATTTTCTTTTCATAGATAGATGTGATTCTTGTAGTTGAATTGATTTTTTGTGTTGATTTATATATGACTAGCTCAATTCAATGGGTAGGAATAAGGATGATTGTTCCGTTTCTTCTGTTATATGTGCTATTGTGAATGGCTCTATGCGAGTTGTGTTTTAACTATGGTTAGATGATTGATCACCTTCTAACCCAATTAAACATCTTATAGAATTAAAAGGAGAGGAGTTGTTTGACATAAGCTCGTATAGAGTATGTTGTTCGCAACTGTATTGTCTATGTGTTGTTTGGTTTGATTGATTTGTCGTTTATGTTTATCATATTATTACGAAAAGTTATTGAGGTTAAATCTTTAGACGTGTAGGTTAATATAGTCATTTAACTGAATGATTATTTATTTGATATCCGCGTTAGAAATTATGAACGATTATCCCTGACTTCACAGCTTCTTTATTGATATATGAATCTTGTTTGAAAGTTAAAAAATGAGTTTCTTTTTTTTAAAAAAAAAAAATTGAAATCTTTAGCCGTTAAACAAAAACCTAACCAATCTGAACTAGAGTGTTTAGGACTTAATTTTGTTTTCATGTGCTTACGTGAAAAACAATCCGACCAGCCTTCCTTGCAATACGACCCGGGATTGATTCTTTTGAATTGACACCGGTAAAAATTACTACAACAACACTTCATTCCAATTTGTGCATTCTTTCTCATAAATCAACATCTTACAACCTTCATAAATCCATATTTTGCTTTTCAGGACAAAAACATTGATTCCGGCTACCTGCACGTTCAAAAGCGCCTCAGAGACCCAAACCGCATCCCGTCTTCTAAATGAGTCCGATCTCGTTGAAGCCCGCAAGGAGCCACACCAAGGCCTTCAGCCTGAAAGCCCGGCCCAATTTTAGGACGTTTGCTCATGGGGGCCACATACAAGGTCAAGTTGGTGGGGACAAGTGCTGAGTTTGATGCCCTAGAGAACGTATACATGATGGACTCGACAGAGTCGACTGAGGTCAAGTGTTTGTCCCATTTTTGTTACATTTTTCGTGTCTATTTTCTCATTCTTTTTTCCCCCATTTTGAGTCATTTATGTGGTTTTAGAGTCGTTTTGTCGTTTATTGCGTGTTTTCCTCTATCTTGGTTTTTCTTGTGTTTTCCGTATGTTTTTTCGGTTTTTCTTCGTTTATGGTGTGTAGGTCGAAAGCTTCGAGAAGATCTAATTTTGGACAAAAGTCAGTTGGGCAAGCGTAATTAGATAGAGGAGTTCGTTGGGAACACACGAAAAAACGGAACTCAATTCCGATACCAGACGAGCCCGAACGACTCCAAAATGTGAAGTAGTGCGAGCTGTCCAGGCCCCGCGCGCCCGCCGTGGAGCGCCCTTTCACCGCGCCGCGAAGCCCTGTCGCGCCGCAGAGTACTCATCCACCACGTTGCGCCCCTGCCACGACCCCGACTGCAGCTCCCAGCCTTCAGGGCGCCACGCCACAGCACAACACCCCACCACGCCGCGAAGCGCACTTCTCTCACGCCGCGCCATCTTTCCACACCGTGCCAACGTGCGACTATATATATTTAATCGGGAAAAATCTTTGGGACCACCTCTCGACCGGGGTGAAAACCCTAGTCCCGAGAAAACACAAAAATCTCTTTCTCCCCCTTTCTTTCTTCTTCTTCCTCGTTCCTTTTCTTCTCTTAATCATTATTTTCCATTTTTCTTCTTCTTTTTCTTAGTTAGGGATTTAGCTTGTAATTCAAAGTCAACATTTGAACTTGGATTGATTGTAAGTATTTCCTTCTCTTGTTTAATTCATGAATAATGGTTGACTTGAGTAGAATGATTATATTTGTTGAATTTGATTTACGTAGCTAATTCCTTCTGCTAGGGATAGGGGATGATTGTTCTTGATTAATTTTGTTATTGTCGGGCTCAAGATTGTTCATGCTTATGTGAGTTGAATTAATTCAGAATTGATGAATTTGTGCTTGATTGATTGATATAATTGAAGAGTGACACTTTGATCTTGTAATTGGAAACAATTGAATGTTAATTTATCGAGCTAGGGTTTGTCAGTTCCATATGATTAGTCGATTAATCACCTTCTAGTTAATTAGCGACTTTCAGAACCGAAAGGGGAGAAGTCGTAGACCTAGGCTCGCATGAGGTAGATGATGTCGTAGTTGAATAATCTATGGATTGAGATTGAAATACGTGCTTGTCGATGACCCGTCCCTTGTTACGAAAAGTTATTGGGATTGGGATAATTGGCCTGTGTTGTATGCTCGAGCTTGTTCGTCTATGTTCAATCCCTTGTTACGAAAAGTTATTGGGAGCGAACCGCTAGATGTTTAAGCGACAGTGTCAATCTCGAACCGAACAATTGATTGCCCGGCTTTGCTAGAACTTGAATTAATTATCCCCGACTCCCTAGCTTCTTTATCTTTGTTAGTTTATATTCTTGGTAGATTATTGCTTTTATTATTTCTTAGTTTATAATCATCCATACTGCTATCTGATTAGAGTGTTTAGGATTTATTTTCTTTTTCTGTGCAATCGATACCAAAGTTAGATTCCGAACAGCCTTCCTCGAGAGATCGACCCGGGGAACGACTCTTTGGATTCGGTACTCGGTAAAAATAATAAATTGTGCTACAACATCAAGGTCTCGTACTCTTACTATTCCAGTGTCTGCTTGACCTGCGCTGGAAATTTTGTTTCGGGCTCGGTCGACCAATCGGACCTTGATGGGAATCAGATGAAGGAGGGGTACTTGCTCACGTGCGTTTCATACCCGACCTCGGACTGTGTGATTCACACCTATAAAGAGAGTGTTCTTTATTGAGTGAACTGTTTGTTTTTAGTTTATTTTTGTTTTCTATGTTATTTGTTCGTTCATATGAGGATAACATTTTGTTGCATTGAAGGTTTCAAAGAGTTGGCTTCTGTTGTTCTTGGGGGAGATCCTTTCTGGTCTCTCTCTCTCTTTTTTTTTTCCCTAGCTCCTCTGTGGATATTTTCTTGTCAAACATCATTCCTGTCTCAATTTTCTTTTCTTTTCTAAATAAACATTAATTGGAAAGAAAATGAATATATCTCCAATGGAAACAAATACAATCCAACAAAAATTTCAAAAAAATTTGAGAGAAATGGAAATTGAGCTACTAAACCAAACACTTTGTTTGTTTACTTAAACACGTCGACTTGCGCCGAACTTATTTGTGATTTTTTTTTTTATAAATTTTAAATAAAACAATCGACTTTTTTACGTAAATATACTTCATCAATGACTTGGTTCGTCCCGTTTAAATTTTAAGCTTATTGATTAGTCTTAAACAAGCTGTACTTTTTACGAATAACCAACATTAGTAGGGGTGAGCAATGGTGCGGTGTGGTGAAAAACCGCACCGAACCACAAAAAACCGAAAACTGAACCAAGCAGAAAAAATAATCGAAATGCATTGCAAGTTAGAAAAAAAGAAACCGAAATAACCAAACCAAACTGCACCGCACCGAAATGCACGGTTCGCCTCGACTTTCGGTTTTATCTTGAATTTTCTATACATTTTATTCAATTTGGTGCAGTTCGGTGCAAAATAACACCGAACCGAACAAAACCGAAAACCAAACTTAACCATAACCACACCGCAATGTTGGAAAAAAACCGAACCGAAATTGTTTTACATTAAAAAAACCGAACCAAACCGCATCGGATTGCTCAGTTCGGCTCGATTTTGCTCACCCTTATTAGCATAAGTTCGAACATGACTTGGTTCGACCCAAAGAACCAACTAGTATAACACGGCAACGACAAATTGGTTGCTCTTACAAAGCAAGCCATTACTAATTTGTAACTGTAAATTTATTTCAACCCGACTCAATTACAAAGAAAACCTCTAAATAAACCTCAATCTAAAATTTCCAGCTTCTCTGTTTGACCGTCTCCATTACAAATCCTCCGTTTTCCTATAGAAATCTCAATTCGGATCCACCAATGGCGGTGCGGCCGACGATTTCCCGGTTCCCGGCCGACCCGAGGGAGCAGGAGGCTTGCGGCCTGCCGTGGGGCGTGACCCTGACGCCGTTCGCGGCGACAGATGAGAACAACATCCCGCCGGTGTGCGGATCCGGCGGCGAGCTGCTGCCGCGATGCGAGAATTGCTGGGCCTACTACAACACCTATTGCGAGCAGGACCAGTGGTCCTGGGACTGCGCCCTTTGCGGCACCACCAATGGCCTCACGTCGGAATCCATCGCCCGATACGCACTTCCCGAATCGTGCCCGGAGAACATGTCCTCGTTTATCGACCTGGAGCTTCCTTGTAATCTACTCTGTCACTCTATTGATGCTTTTGTTTCTTGGATTGGTTTGCAGCTTGATGATTGTTTACAACTTTGCCTTTTCATTTGTGGATGTGGAATGAAAATGTTCATTTCTGGATTAGAATTTATGCGTGGTACCCAAATCAAAGTGCACTGGAGGTGTTATTTCCTACATGCAAGGACACACCAATTTATAAGAACTTGTTGTGACTTTGTTTTCAAGGTGTCTGTACTAGGTTGTGATGGTGCTCGCTTGTGTACAATTAGTGGTTCGTGTTCTTAAATGTTTGGGGGTGGATTTATATTCTCATATTGGCAGTTTATTATGTTGGGTTGTTTTTCGTTTACTTCCAGAATGTTTTGTTTGAAGATCAAACACCACAATGTTGGAGCATTTTCAGTACTAGATAAATTGGTAAAGTGTTATGTGTGATGTACACATAATTTGGAGATTAATGAATTGGTGAGTGGTCATTGTCATATTGTAATGAATATATTATGGTCTTTTTTCAAGTTGAGAGAAATGTTAGTAGATTTACTGAGCATTTAATTTTACATTCTGTTGTTGTTCTGGCAGGGAGCTAAATTTACCATTTTGATTCATTTATATACAAGTACTTCTCAAACAGGCAATATGAGTTTTCCTTGTTCATATTATTCATACATGTGATGGCTGGGTTCATGGGATATTTATTAGAGTGGTGTCTAAAGAGGAGGTGTATGTATATGTGAATTCCTTTCTTTTTGTTACCATGTTATTGGTTATGGTTCTATAATCTGGTATTGTACCCTACTCACAGCTATTGTTAATCAGCACTTTTTTGCTGATATCTTAAGTTTTTATGGTTCAATTTGTGGTGGCAGTTGAAGAATCTGAAGAAATGCAGGCAAGGCCGGTGTATGTTGCTGCGGTTGACCTCACCTGTAAGAATTTTCAAACTCTGGAATATAATTGCTAATGAGTAATGACTACTGTTCCTGTATTGATTGTTTTTGTAGCCAATGAAATACTTTCTTCACTTCTTTGAACTTCAACTTTACCTGCCGATTAAGCAGTGAAAACGATTATGTGCTAGCAAGCATGCTGATGATAATACAATGTTAAGATATCAATAAAGTCATGTATTAGGTGTGAGTTGGCTCGGACTTTCTTCTACGTTAGTTCCTTATGCTGCTGGATATTGGTAGTGGATATTATGAGAGCTTTTACCGAAAAACATTGTTGCCACTTGAAAAAAAAGTTGCAACATTCTCCATGAACGGCTTTCAAGTTCTTAACAGAAATTTGCTATGAATTTAGATTGATGCATTTTGAGTATGTCTGACCTTTGGCTCCTGTGAATTGTCTATTTATGTAGCGTCTGAAGAGTTCTTGGAACTTACTAAAAGTGCTCTATTGGCAGCCTTGGAAGGTTTGTTACTCTGTCATTTCAATATACAGCGTCCTAGCTGTCAAATTGAGTTAATTCTGGTTTTAATCTTGTGGTTTGACAGCTCTTGCGCCAGGATCACTTTTTGGTCTTGCTACGTTCAGCCACAGAATAGGCCTGTATGATGTTCAGGGGCCCATTCCAGTGGCCAAGAATGCGTTCATTCCCCCTGAAGGCAACCTGTCTATGGATCTTGAAGATGTCATGCCACTGTCTTCTTTTTTGGCTCCAGTATGTTAATTTCAATGATCTTTTGGGTCGTGTTGCTTCCTTCTTACATTCCTTATACTAAATTGCAGTTCTCAAAACAGTGTGAAAGAAAATTTGTAACGAAGGTGATACTATGAACATGGACTGACAAGAACTTAAGTGTTAGTTTATTGATATTGTAGGTTGATACATGTAAGGACCGTATTGCATCCGCACTTGAAACTCTGAAGCCAACAACTTCATGGGAGCGGACAACAGCTGCTGGTCAAGCAGTAGATGGTGTTTTACTTGGTGGCCGTGGGTTTGGAGTGGCAATGGAAGCTCTCCTCAAATATTTAGGATCAGAATATGGAAATATGTTTGCTCTTGGTACACTAACTTTATCAATTGATTCTTTTATTGAATGTTCCTTATTTTGCTTGCATTGTTTTTCATTTTTCCCATGTGGAGGCCTCTAATGAAATTACTTTCTAAGGAGATGCTTTTATCTGAATTTCTGAATGTTACCACTCTTAACTTGCTATTTTTAATTTCCTTCTGTTTCTTCCCTTGAACGGAAGCGCAGCCAGAGTTTTTGCCTTTCTATCTGGTCCTCCAGATTATGGTCTTGGTCAGCTGGACACCAGGCGATATGGGGAGCAATATGCTAGTAAAGGAGAGGATGCAGATCGTGCTTTGCTCCCCGAACAGACTCCATTTTATAGAGATTTGGTACATAGCTTGAGCAATCAGAAATTCTTCATTAAAGATTTTTTCAAAGAAATTGGTAACTATATATTTTCAACAGGCTGCAGGTGCTGTTCAATCTGGTGTTTGTGTGGATATATTTGCAGTTACAAATGAGTATACGGATTTAGCCTCCTTGAAATTTCTTAGCATCGGGAGTGGAGGTTCATTGTTTCTGTATTCAAATACCGATGATTCAACCCTTCCTCAAGACATGTGAGTAAATATTTTATTTTTTATTTTTAAGAAATTAAGATTGATCGTCCCTTGATGAAATTTCAGCTGGTGTAAATAGAACAAATTTATAATCTAGTAGCTCAGCCTCAACATGTGCTAAGCATACTTAAACTATATGCGCTGTTGTCAGTATTAATTATCTACATAATCTCATTTTAGGTACCGTATGTTAAGCCGGCCATATGCTTTCAATTGTGTCCTACGTGTAAGGACATCATCTGAATTTAAGCTTGGCCATTCAGTACGTCTCAGCCCTTTCCTATATATTTGACCTTTGCCATTTATCGTAACTGTGTAATAATACTTGACTGCGGTGCTACAGTATGGGCATTTTTTCCCAGACCCAGAATATGAAAATGTTCAGCACATCATTTGCTGCGACTCTTTCGCCACATATGCTTATGACTTTGAATTTGTGAATGATGCTGGATTTTCCAGGTAAGAGAAGTGCTTCCATTTTTTTTTTTTTTTTTTTTTTTTTNATTTTTTTTTTTTTTTTTTTTTTTTTTCATTTAATTTTTCCTTTAGCATTATAGTCATGGTCGCTTCTGGATCTTGCAACTAGACTTAGCCTTCATTTAGTCTGAAACTTTTTGTATCAATTGACTAGTCATGACGATTTCAGTTAAAAAATGCATTTTGGTGGTGTTCTGCTTTCATATGTTAAATATATTCTGCCTCCTCCATAGTAATGTCAAATTTGTTGTCTTCCTGCGACGCAGTGACATCCTGAACTTCTTTTTGTCTTCCACCTTATGATCAGATTTAGAATGGAATATGATTATGGTGTAAAAGTGTGAGAGTTCCTCAGATATACCACCTTTTCCTCTCCCATTCTCGAGGGGTTGGGGTGGCTTATAAGAGTATATGACTCTCAAAAGAGATTTTCTGCCTCTTTTTCTTCGATATATATATATATATATATATATATATTTTTAAATTCTCTTGCATTTGCTGACAAATGTTTTGCTTCTCTTGGGTACCAAATAAAGTAGAGAAGCCATTTGGTAAGAAAAATAGTTCTGTGGTGAATAGATTTTCTGAAGCTTGGCAGAAGACTTGATAGTGGTTTCTAAACTTAATCCTCTATACGCCATTCAATGTTCCTTTTCTTTTAAAATCAGATAAATAGGTAATTTTTCTGCAGACACAGCCGGGAACGCCCAACGTTACAAATTGCATTTCAGTACTCAGTTATTGTGCCTTCAGACGAACCCTTCCCATTGGGTTCAGGCTCTTCAAAGAGGTATGCTTCTTTTGTTGCAGTTGTCACACATTGTAGATTACTGAAAAATACATTCGGCTGTGTACGTTTTATTGCTGACCTGAAAAATGTATTCGCGATGAAAGCGCTGCTTATTCCCATAATTAAGGAGGATTAATGGCTGCACAATTTTTTTATTCAAAAGCCAACATTAGGGCCTTCTTCCTGAATCTACAAGTCCTGTGACTTACTATCATTAATTTAGAGGATATTACACTGGGTCACTAAATCCAATTGTGAAAGGAGTGGTGCTTGATTGTGCTTCCATTATTATTGCTGATTGTATCATTAGTTTTATTCACCTTTGAACTGCTCTGAATAGGCATATTTTGTTCCTCCTTGGCTGCTCCACGAGCTGAATTGATCATTGCAATTAAAATACGAACCATTTGTGTGACATGAATGCTGATGTGCCTCATATTTGCAATCTATTACAAACAGTCTCCAAGTGCCTTAAGTGTCCTTGGTTTGATATCACCACATGCAGTAGGACTTTAGTTTCACAGAGGAAAAAGTCCAATGCATTGACTTCCCATTTTTTACCTAATAGCGAAAGCAAAATCTACTTAAGTTGACTTTTGTCAGAATGCAATATTGATATTGAGTTTTCTGTTCCTGTACTCAACTTGGAGTGGATATCGGATACGCTCCTCGAATTCTTTTTGCCCCCACAACCCTGTCGAACTTTGATATTCCACTGGGTGATTAGGAAATAATAAGCATAGAAGCTTGATCCTGACCATCTTTAGAAATATTTATTGGTAATTTTGTGCACAAGTCAACACGAAACCATTGGAAATGACTCATCATGTTATTTTTGGCGTCTACCCATAGTTCTTTTCTTCGACACTGGAACTCAACGGAAAAATAGTTATTATTTTATTTAGGGGTTCCTTGTACCTTAACCAAATCAAGAGCTTACTTTACTTTTGCATCAACTCTCTTTGCGTTTTCTGTTGCTGTAGCATCGTCACAATCACCAAAGTTGCTGGCTTTACACACTACAGTATTTTGTATCTTTTCTTATATATGTTTCATTTATGCAGAGATAAGTACTCTCTGAAAAGGAGACTGCGGATCAGAACTGTACAACTCGATACGGCTCGCCATATCAATGAAATTTATGATAGTGTTGATCCTGAAGTTGTTCTCTCTATACTTGTTCATGAGGTAAATTCCAAATACCTGAAGGTTTAGATTAAATATTGCAGAGTCTTTCTTAAAACTGAGAGTGGCAGAAGTTGCATCGTCTTCATTAAAAACTTGAGCCATTGTAATTAGTCCTAAGCAGACTAGAGTGCCAAATGCATTTGTTATTGCCTGCTTTGTTCTTGGTGGTGTATCATTATGTGCCAGTGTTTTATGTTTGAATTTCTGCTTCATTTACAAATATATATAATTATATAATAGTTATAGTATAGTGAAGCTTTGTAAACATAATTGGAAGTGCATTTTTTATTCTTTGCATTTCATTGACAGGTTATGTTGAATATTAATTTATCTTTGCTTCTCAAACACCGTGGGTTCCCAACAAATCACAATCAAATTGAGGGTTAAGGGTGCAGTTGGATATGCTTTCATTTGTTTTTTTTCCTCTCTAGGAAAGAAGATTTTTGGGAAGAATTATTATTTTTATAATATGAAATGATGTATGATGAAAAAGTAATAATTAAAGGTGATGTGATGGAGAAATGGTAAAATAATGGTTGATAGTTAAAAATATGTGAGGGGTGAATAGTAAATTTTATACAGTAATTTGTATTGATCATTGTTTTTTATTTAAAGAGTAGCATTGAGAAAATGGAGAGAAAAAGTGGGAAGAATGAATAGTGCAATTTTTATTTAGAGAATGAAAAATGCTCTTTTGCTCATATTCAATTGCGCTTACCACATCTTAGTTTGTGCATTTCTACGGTAGAGTCAACTTCTAGGTCCTGCCCTTGACTTGAATTGGGTTTTGATGTGCAATTTCAGGTTATTTTGTCCTCTTTGGAGAATGGAGTTAGAGAGGGTAGAATCCTGCTACATGAGTGGCTTGTAAATCTAACTGCTCAGTATAATGATGCTTTTAAGACTGCTGAGTACACGAGAGGGGGCTTAACCACATCTCAGTTTGATGTTGCCTTCACTCAGTGCCCTCAGCTGCAACAGTTGCCCCGCTTAGTCTTTGCTTTGCTCCGAAATCCTCTTCTTCGCTTTCATGAAGAAGGTGTCCATCCAGACTATCGGATCTATCTTCAATGTCTATTCAGGTACACAATTTTGTAGAATTTATGCTGTCATTTGTAGTTGCATGTCGGTGATGTGTGTAAAATTTTAGTTATTATGTTGGTTAGGGACATTTTTTGTATGGCTGCTTGGTTACGTAGATTAAACACGTCATAATATTCTTCATTACATTTTATGACATTAGTTGGTAGCTATGTAAAACTTCTACTCCCTCCTTCCCACAAAGATATACCACGACGTTATTGTTTTGTGTCCCATATAACACTAATAGGTTTGCTACTAAGTTTTGTATGCAGTTAACTTTCCATTACATGTATGATCCTATGTAATTATTTTTGTGTCACACTACTCCATCCTAGACTAACTTTTACAGAAACTCATTGACAATGAATCAACAATAAAGTATACATAAACTGGAATTGCAATTTATTGATTTTTCCTATGACAATACATTTCTTTTAGCATTTGTGCATATGCATGGAACTGGTCATTATGTTCTCACTGCATTATACATATTGACCGCAATTATTTCCACTTTAATCTCAGCCTCCAAGTTCATACATGAGCATCACCATTTTTTGTTCTCCTGTCTATTTTCACAGCTATCCATCAACCTCCACCTGTGATCCTACTCAGTTGACCATATTATAGCATTATCATATACATTTTAGAGCCTAACAACCATAATTTTTATGCAGTGCTCTGGAACCTTCTTCACTCACCCTTGCCATATACCCATTGCTGGCGTCTTATGAAACTCCGGATAGACAAGCATTTCCTCGCCATTCACTGAGTCGCGCTGCATTACTAACGAGTGGTAGCCCGATATTTTTACTTGATGCCTTCACAACTCTCATTGTGTTCTATTCATCTACAGCTGACTCTGCACTTCCTTTTCCTCCACCTCAGAACTGTAAGTTTGCCTTCTCTCTATGGATGAATTGTGATACGACCCTAGAGGTTTTGCACAATTGCAGAAATTATTTGTCATACAAAGGCCATCTGTATATTTTCATTACCTCTAAGAATATAATTGAACATTTTACAATAGGGCAAAAACCTCGGGCGTAATTTGGTTATTTTTCCCATTCCTCTGTTATATTGGAATACCCGGAACATTTTGTTGTGCTTACATAGAACTTAGAAGTGATAACATCTGTTTTTCTAACACAGGCCTTCTGAGAACCACCATTAACAAACTGAAGCAAGGGCGGATTATCACCCCTAAACTCGTATTTATCAGAGGAGGGCAAGATGATGCAACCATGTTCGAAAATTACCTTATAGAGGAGCAGGATGTTGAGGGGAGTGGCATCACGAGTGCCATGGGTTTCGTCTCGTTCCTTGATGAGATCAACCGTGATGTGGTGGAGTACATGAAGAAATTGAATGGCGATATACGTAAATAGAGGTGAACATGACTTATACATGGAAAAGTTTTTTTTTTTTGGTTTATATTGGAACACAGTCCTGGCTACTTGTGGATACAGCCAGCGATAAATTTGGCCAGAAAGTAAAAGAAAGTATTGTTCGTTGGTTTTGGTTGATTATCGAGTGATACTCAATTTGAAGGGGTTTTTTCCATTGGGAACTGCAGCTTAGGGCTGTTTGAGTTTGTGCTAATTGCCGTATACTTAGCAAGACATGTATTAGCTATATCAAAGATGTAACTTTAGACGATAGACGTGTTAGATAAGATGGACATGGGTTACTTTGTTTGAAGGCCCCCGACTTCCTATTTTCTTTTGTTGTGATCCTGTTATTCATTTGTATCTGTAGTTTGTATCACCAAGATGTTTCAGTCAGCAGTTAAAACTTTTAGCTATCCTTAGCCCGTTTTATCCACAAAGAAGCTGGAACACTGATCTATGCCCCTCTATCCGTGTTGCTGGGCTCTTATGAGTTGCTACGTAATGTGATCATATGATCGTGTAAAATGAAAAACCTTACAACTTGTACAATTGCTCTCTATTGATTTCTTCAAGTAAAAAATATATTTATTTATTATTTTTAAATGCAACATAAAGTAGACCAAAATTTTTATATCTCAACCTAGATGTATTGGGAAATGAAGGAAAACGTAAATAAGAAAGACATGAAAGTGAATGATACCTTAGCTTACGACATTTTCGAAAAATTCATTTTCAAACTCATTTTGTAGTAACTATCAAATCAAGTTGTAATTCATCTTCAACTGAAAAGTCCATTTTCAAACTGGAATATTCTCGGAATATTTTTTTTTGCATCAACTTTTACAGTTTTTCAATACTACTCGTATGTTTTACAACTTTACAAAGTAAATCAAACTATTATTTTAAATTTGATTTGAAAATTTTGTTATAAAATTAATTATAAAGTTATAATTCATATACATAATAAAACCGGGTAAATAAATATTCATTAAAAAATAAAAATTACAATGCATAAGATGAAAATAAAAATACATTAATATGAACATAGAATAATTGTTCGTACTAGTAAAAAATACATAATCTTTCAAGTCTCGGAATTGGTGAATTCTTCTCACAAATGATCAATTAGTTCATTCCGAAGTGCAATGTGATCATCTGTATTTCTAAGTTTTTTGTACCGAGATATGAATTACTTAGATCGAACACTTTCATCTATTGCTACTTCGACATCCGACAGCGACCTTTCCATCTCAGTTTTCATTGATGCACTTAGCACGTTCTTCCTCGACAATCATGTTAGAGAAATTTACCTCCTACACGATTAGCTTAAATTATATTTCCACATAGATGATGTATATATTGGGTCGTATTTATATTGGGCCTCGGCCCACGGAAGCAATTCCAGATGATTATTCTTTTCGTTAGTTTCCTTCTATACGGCACTGTCATTTAGTCCCGAAAAACCTCCGAAGTTCATCTCTCTAGACTTCATCAGAATCTCCACTCTCTGTGCCCAGGTAGTTACTGTACAATTTAGATCTTTCAGGTCCATAGGAATCTCTATCTTTAAGTGTTAATGCTTGTGTTGTGCTACTATGTCATGTGAAATGCCGAGCTCGTTTTGGTTTGTACCTTCGTGTTTCTGTATTTGTTCGATTTGAGGCATTACTTCAGCTGAGATCTTTGAGTTTTCGCATTTTTGTTGCCTTTCCGTCGTCTGATAATGTTATCATGTCGGCCCGATTTTTCCTTCATTATTTATCTTGTATATTTTGGGATGTCTTGTGGGTTTTCGATACTGCTTTGTCTATTGGTGCTTAGAATAGGAGTTACTGTTTTCTTTCATTCTGATGGGGTGCTTCATATAGGAGTGCATTTTGTTGAATCATTTACTTGGGTGGTTTCATTTATATAAGCTGGGTACTGCGAGGTTCTGTGTGCAAAAAATCTATATGCTGTTCGGGTTGTTTTATCGAATTTGGACTAGTGAAGATATGTGGGATACTTCTATGCTCGCACATGGATTGTTGATTTTGTCCATCGTAGTTGTATTTAACAAAATTTTGGAAGAGTTGCTTTGGAATTGTATGAAATGAAAGTCTTGTAGCACCTGCTTGCATTTTGTTTGTGGTTTCAGCACAGAGTACTTGCAACCAGTATGAGTTTGATTTCTTCCTTCTGGTGATCTATTGGACACCAATTTGCAGGTCTCCTAGTTCTTGTTCTGTAGTGTAGGCTTTTTGAAGATCGCCATAAATACCTTACATGTAATAACATCCATGTAAAATTTATGTGGTCTGTGCACATTTTCTTCAATTTTCGAGTGCTCGTAGTCAAGCTTTCTCAATGTGAGGGCACTAGTTATTGGACATTTGAGGAGTCTGCTTCTTGAATAATTACATTTACTGTCCTATCATCCACTGTGGCTTTGTACTATGCCAATAGTTGTTGGGTTGTATTGCTTTTCACTTGTCTTAGTGGTCCTAGGACTTATTTCATTTTTAAAGTATCACTTGCAAAAACATGGTCTACTTGTATATGCCCCCTAATTTCAAGGACTGTTTTTCTCGTTCACTGTATATACCCATCTTTTGCTGCTGTGAATACCATAGATAATTTTATTGAGCGGACATATGGGTACTATGTTTCTTTAATTATAAACAACCTACTAGGATTTGCATCTCTAGCCTTGTATCTAGTACCTTTTCTTTTGAGGTTATTTGAATTAAATGGAATTTATAAATGAGGCTTCCAATTGCTGGTAATGTGCAATGATATAGCTGCAGAAGTTTTGGAAATAATGGCAGGTTAGAACACTTAAAGTGGAATATGCTAATGTCGTAGTTGTATCAGCAGCAGCCAAATTTCACTCTACTTCATCCTTTCAGCATATGAAGTTACTTTTATTGTTTGAGATGATCCATGTATTTGGAAGAAGAATGAATATTGAACTGAATCTTTTATGTGTTCGGGTAGATTGAGAGCTGTTAAAATGTCACATGTCCTTAAGAGTACTCAACTGTATTCAAAGCTAGATAGTTGTTCTATTCCAGAATTCGTGCACTTTGGCACTCTGCAAGTGGCAAATAAGCTATTCTCATTTATATGCCATTCAGCACATCAATTACATGAAGTGCATTCAGACAACTAATTTTTTATTTTTATCAGGAAATTGTGTTACCATGGCATCGAGGATTGCTGCTAGATATATCTCGCGCAGGTTCTCTAGCGGTGGAAAAGTCCTTAGTGAGGAGGAGAAGGCTGCGGAAAATGTCTATATCAAGGTAAATTCAGAATTGTGGCACTAAATATAACAAATGTTGACAAGTTATTGTATTGTGGTGCTTCCTTATTGGCAGGTCGTTGCATTTTGCTTTGGTCCTCTATCTGGGCAGGAACATACTGAAAATTGTGAAAACCATTCGGAAGCTTGATTATTCCTTTATCGCACTTTCTAGATGAAGTCTTTACAAAGTGCATTTCATTATTTTTTATTTCAAGTATTAATGTATATGATGATCCTGCATCCTTCTTTTCTCATACTTAATGTGGTGGAGTTTATACTGTATACTTGATCTGGTTCGCTGACTAGGGACACTGTAGGTAATTATTATTGCTAAATGTACAAACACATAGTTCAACTGTGGTTACCTGTCGATTCGGGTCATTTATAGAGCTATTACTTTTATTTAGTTGTCTGCTTTAAGAACAAGCTCTCGAGACACGTACATCAATGACAGTTGCATGTCTCTAATTCAACAAAACTGCTGTATATTCATCTGACATCTGATTTTTTTTTTTTTTTTATTTTTTTTTTT